TGCTCTGAAATAGCTCGCCTGAAACCCGAAGAATCGCCCTTCGCAGTTCTCCTCGAATTTTCCCGTCAGTGAGTTCAGGACACACTCGCCTATTCCCGCACAATTCTAAATCCCTGAGGCTAAGCTCATAGTTATAAACATCTTTCAATTTTGAGAGACGAAATATTATCGCTGAAAGAACGTCCTCTTATTAAGTCATTGGGCATACTCGTGTCGTTGCGTGTTGAAGTTCACTCGGTCGAACAATGAAATAAAGAGGCACCCCAGTACTACAGGTGCGCTCACAACAAATTCCAGATTCCCATGTGTCCTAACTTTGACCCTACCCCTCCTGAACCTAAATGCTAACCATAAATCCATTGCTAATGCCATTAGCCAGGACCCTAACCCTGGAATTTGGGAGAACGCTATCGGTGGTAAACCGTAGCCAAGCGCTCTATCTAGAACCCTTACTGGTAGTCGCATAGCGCTCAGTTCCGAAGAGACAAAGGTCTCATACACTGTTCACTGAACATGCTTGCAAAAGCGGGTAATATTCTGGATCACAGTCGACAAGATTAGCCCGTAGCTCAATCACGGAACAGTGGACTGAAAAATGCCCAATGCCGAGAAGTCAGATTTGCATTCCTGGTTATCCAAACTTGGAGTCAAGAATGCCTGCCCGAGCATGTTTTATTTGCCAGAAATGGGCATCTCAGGCTTCGGCAGTCAGCATTTCCGGCAAAGACAAGGGAGGCTACAATGGCCATTTCTGGCTCATTAACCGTCATCAGCCATACTAAACTCCAACTGGTGCCCCATCCGAGGCCGGAACTCGCGACCTTTGTGACCAGAAGTCTAACGCTTTAACCGTTGAGCCACGGGCTCGTTGTCCTTGCCAGCGACGCTATTTGCGGCTGTACCGCTGCTGGCGGGTTCCGTTAGTGGTCGGTGAATGTTCATCAAAGAATCCGAGTTTTGGAACCAAATAGACAACCCCAAACACTGGACCCAAGCAATCCGACTGAACATGCTGGTAGGTTCAACGCTAGTGTACGTCAAGCTCGAGTTTACTGATAACATTCCAGCCTAAT